AAACAAAGAATGTCGTTTACCACAAGGTGCTTGAATGAAAATCCGATTAATAAATTAATCAGAGTGTATCCCAACCTGAACAACATAGCTTTCAACAATTTTTTACCTAGAAATAATGGACAGGGCAATGCAACGTTGGCCGGGCCAGCTAGTTTGTTATATATTAGATTCTCGAAGTCAGAAAGACTTCGGCTAATTTAGGGCTTCCCCCTCGTCCTAAAATTTGAAGCAATTAATTTGCGAGCTTACTGTTAGAAAAAAATGAATTGTTTGTGTCCGTATGATTTGTCGTGCATATGTGTTTACCCCGGAGCCCTAATAGCATCAACACGGCAAGAGAGTAAGCGTATACTTTTGTTAATCTTCGATGTAAAAGCTGTCGAAGGCTATAGCCAACATCTCTCCAGCATCTTTGCTGGCATTTCTCTAAATGACGATGCGTGAGTGACAAATTAAACGGGAGAAAGAAATTTCTAAAATATGCTGTCGCGCGTGCTGAGTTTATTGTGTGTAGATTAATTTAGACAATTATTATATACTAATTATCGGAAGACAATCAAATGCAGAAACGAGTGGAGAAAGTGAGTTTTCGGCCGATGATTTCGAGAATGTCGCCACATAATGTTCCATCGGACATTTAGTTAGATTAATCATCTATGGGATCTCCTTATTTGTTACTTTTATTATTTTATTTATTTTTTAATCGAATATGCCATTTAATTATTGGTTTTATACCTCCTGGTGCTCTTATTTATTCTCTATTTATTGGTATATAAATGTAACTTAAAACAAAATGCTTTCATTATACAATTAACAATTAATGAAAATGTAGAAAATTATACCATTTTTGTTTTCTTATGTAATGCCTATGTAATTGTATAAGTCGATGGATGGGATTTAGTACTGATTTCCGAGGAGTTTTCAGTTTAGTAAACGATTCGCTAAACACCCTGTATGGAAAACTAGCTTTTTAGTAGTTTTCATTTACTTTTAATCCACAATACTTTGTCAAAATAGTTTCAAGCAACAAATGCCAGCACATTTAAGATTATTAGCACAATAAAATAGTGAAACTTCCTACCCATAGCAAGTAGTCACCATGGCATAGCTACAGAAAGTGCTCTGGCACACATTTAAACAAGGAAAACTAGTAAGAGTGCTCAGATCGGGAGTGCCCGACTTGCGGATACCCTGACAAGTGTGTCGAGCAGTTGTCTAAAATATATCCTCACCGATCTCTGGCATCTGCTAAGTGATTTTCTTTTTTAAATAGTTGTTCATTTGATTTAGTATCCAGAACTTAGTACTCTTCTTGATTAAAATGGTAGTACTCTTTGAAAGCGTATCATGTCTTTATTTTTCCGGAATTTCGTATTTGTGTATATGCATATGTATATTTCCAGGTCTCGAGTATGTCAAGTTTTATAAGAAGGTCGTTTGCGCTATTTAAGAACTGGTATTAAAAAGCACGGCGATGTCATGAGAGAAATTGTGACATGCTTGACAGGTAGAATACAAAGAAAAAGATTACTTTCACAATGACCTCTTGAACTGTGCTGTATGTATATGTACAAATATATATAAAACAAAAACAATCTGTTGCGGTGTCAGTGTACTGTTATTGGTTTAATATAGAAAATCATATCTTAACTGTAAAATAAATAACTTATAACTCTATTTAGCTTCGCTGCCAGCCAACTAGCCGGAGCACTTGCTCGCCAGCGTGCACATCAGCGTGCGAGGACAGAAAAGCAGCCCCTTCGAACAAGTCATCTTGTGACCTTTCATCTGACCCTGGGCGGTCTTGTAGCAAACGAAATAGCTGCTGATGGAGGTCTGGTCGGGTATCTTATCGCCCTCCCTGCAATAATATTTGCGCTTCTTCACCGATCCACTGCTGTTACTGTTACTATTATTGTTACTGTTGCTGTTACTATTATTGTTACTGTTAGTGTTGCTATTGGTGTTGATATTGACGTTGCCATTGCTATTGCTACTGCTACTGCTGATGGCAGGCAGAGTAAGAATGACTGACGTTGGGCGCGGCGTGGTAGTTAGCTCAGGCAAACTGATCATGTAGGAGTCGAGCGGGCTGTGCTCCATGCTGGATGAGACAGCAGGTCCACTCGGTTCCTGCATACTGCTATATTGTTGCAGAAGACTAGCAATGCTCTGGCTCTTAAGCGTGGCCTCCTGTCGTCGCTTGGCTTCGCTCAGCATCTTAAGCGCCTCGATCTGCAGTCGCTTGTTCTCCTCGATAGAGTAGCCGTTGAGCACTTGGACAGTGCCGCACTGGGCATAAGTTACTGCATCACAGATGCGAGTCTGTTTATTAAACCCTGTGTAGGGTGGGCAGGAGTAGGACAGTACTTTGCCGTCCTTCTTACTACAAACAAAGTAACGAGTGCAGTCCGTCTGATTGGGTTGGCGCACTCCGGCCTGACATGTGATCACTTCCACCTTACCAAGGTTAGATAACGCCGACGGCGATTGTGTCATTAATGGCAGGATAGACTTCTGAAACAAATCTAGACTGATGAAATTGCCATTAAAGTTCACAAGCTGATTCAGTGCAGACTGATATTTGGTCTTCCCAGGCAAAACCTGTATGTTGTTAGCAGAGCTCATTGGAGATGGGTACATGCTATTGCCCACTGGCTCATTATATACACTACTCATACTCGCTGGGAGATTGGGCAAGTAAGCTGGACTGTAGTCAGGTCGATGTTGCTCATTCATCGCATATCTCTGATCCACATATGAGCCAGGTGCTAATTGATTGTTCATGCCTATTAGATCCGCTGAGTCGCCACTGCTGTAGGTCAGTACATGGGGCCCATTTTGTCTATTGTTGTTCTGGTTGTTGTTGTATTGGTTGTTGTAATTGTTGCTGTTGTAGTTGTTCGTGTGCAGGTGGTTCGCATTCGCATGGCTGTTGACATAGTTAATATTACTCGCTTCATCAGCCTCTACTTCCATGCTTTCGATTTTTTGGGAATTAGGTCGAATTTTCACTTGATCTGGCTTAAGATGGATCGGAAATAGATTGTGACTGTCCATGGGGCGAGGTACATTCAAGTCGATGGACATAGACGTTGGATAACTTTCCGCATTGAATACGCGATGTGCATTGTTCTCATTGAGATGCGGACTAGGCGTATAGTAGGAGGATACGGTGGATGCCGATGGCTGATGCTCGAAGGGGCGGGGTGTTGTCTGTACAAATTCGCCAGCATACGGAGCCGCGTATTGACCCGTGTATTGGCTGCTCATTGTCGTCACGGACATCCCAGATATGGAACTGGAGCTGGAGCTAGAATTCGGCCGAGGTGTTGTCATTATTGCCATAAATTTGTTTAGATAGTTGTTGCTCTCCATTTGATTTTGGTTGTTCTTGTTGTTACTGCTTGGATAGACACCCAAGCTGTTGCCATATGTATCAAGTACTTCCTTTTCGCCAGAGCTTGTGCTAGCCAAATGTACGGGTATAACATTATTGTGAATGATCGTGGTGCTGGGCTGCGACTGCTTTTTGTTGTATCCGCTCGGCTTCTTATGATGCACATAATGCGACCTTGGTGGCGAATGAGACTCATAGTCTTGCATCGAAAAGTACTGCTGGAATGGATTATTGTGGGTTGTCAAAATGATAGGCTGTAGAATTGGCTGGGCAAAAAACGCGCCATTGTATGCTGGATTCGGAATAACTTTTGGCATATTCTGAGCAGAAATCATCTGCTTGGACAGTTCCAGCACCGTTTTCAATGTTTCCTCTGATACCTTGGGCTCCTGGTCGCCCATGTATTCATGACTCTGAGGTTGAGCATACTTCTGGCTGTGCTCTTCGCTGGAGCCGTATTGAGGGAGTGTAAATGTAACTGATCCCTCTGGACGATTTACCACAATTTGAGAGTTTGTATAGCCCTGGCCGTTCGAGGTGAACGGCTGGGCATTAGTGAGCATCAGCTTGGTTTCCGGTTGCATTCGATGCTTCGTTAAATGCTCTTGTAAACGGGTCTTATTAGCTGTTGGTTTCGGCAGTGGGAGTGTTGGTGCAGCCGAAACCTCCATTGGCCTTGTTGGTGTCATAGGCGTCATAGGTGTCGTATGTGTGGTAGGTGGCGCAGTAGTAGCGGTTTCTGTGTGGTGGATTTCTCCCAAAGGATTGAACATGTCGTAACGGGTTTTTAAATCAAAATGCGCCAAAAAAGCATTTAACTGATCTGGTCGCATTTCCGTTTGGGGCTTATCCGTCTTCTGATAGGTTTGCTGCAGTCCATCAATTAGCTGCGACAGCCGCTGCAAATGCGCCTTAAGAGTAGGATCTATTGAAGAGCTTGGATGTTTATTTAATGTCATTGGTTCTGGGTCCACAGCAGATGCAGGGTAACTTATATTAGCTACTCCTTCGCGATTTTCTAGCTGCACTTGGCTATCCAAGTCGACAAGTTCGCCATCGCCGCTGGAATCGAATGTGTTACTTGAGGAGCTTTCATACTCAGTACTTTCATGTGCAGGCTTGAAAGGTTGAGCACTCTGCTCCTCACTGCTTAAGAAGGCATCCAGGACAATCTCCACATTATCATCATGTGACTGTGGCGACTCCTTCAGTAAGATACCCGATTCATCATCACTGTTGACTATAATAATGTCGGCATCTTTGCTTCCCATGACTGACAGCTTGTTGGTTGCATTATTCAGTTCATTAGGAGTTAGACACTCCCAATCCTCGGCAGGCAGCACACAGCTGCCCACACTATGCTCATAGACGAGTCCCTCTTTGCACTTGGTCGGTATCCAGACATGAGAGTTCGAGGGCAAGTCGCGGCATTTGTAGTAAGCATCGCAACGTGTCTTATGGCGACGGCTCTTTTCGGGACATGGTTTACCTTAAACACCAAAACCAAACGACGGGACAACATATAGGAAGAAAAAGAGGAAAAGGATGCAAATATTAAGTACACATTTCAGTATCTAAACTAATTGCACAGAATCAACTTTATTTTATGAACAAAACATCGAAATCACTTCAAAAAAGCAGGTTGATCAACTTTTTATATATCAAGCACACTTTGAGTCTCAACAGTTTTTTTTAATTTTTATATACATATCTAGCCAGTTTCCATGTTTATAAATAAATTGGTATATTTTAAATTATATCCGATTTTGTTCACAAATCACTTAAGACTCGTTACGCCTTATAGTACCTTCCGAAAAGTAAAATAGGCTGGTTAAAAGGCACAAATATATTAAAAGTCCATGCATATCGTTGTTATAAATGTCCTTAAATAAGCTTCTTTTTTCAGAGATGACTAAATTCCAGCTCGGCAATGATGCTTCCGCTTTAGACAAAGTGCGCGATACGAATGGCTGAGCTTCCACGAATCGTGGCATGTTAAATTTTAATAATTTTCTCTTTGTGCTGGAGAAGCTAGCACTCAGACATCGCGCCTCGGAGAAATGTGAGTTACAGCGAGACTCGAATATAGAGCAAAGCGTGATACAAGCTCGAAGAAAAATTGTTTACCCTTCATCATGGGTATAAAGCGACGAGTAAACAAAATAGAAGGTATTAATTGCTTATATTAATAAATTTGACTGTGCACTCAAATACAATCCAGACGATGGTAAGTAAAAGTAAATTCACTTTTATCATGATTGTCATATAGTTTTTTTCTGTAACATATAGTTTCAAAACTGCATACATAAACACATCGTTGGAAAAAAATTGGAATTGCTGCTAGTCATGGAATATACTAATCGTGGAATTCAAAAGAAAAATAAATCGAATGAACTTCGCATAGTAACGTAAATGGAAATTAGATGGAACTACTCGTATTTACTATTATTGATTAATAATAACTGAATTAATTTAAATTTTTAAAATTTATATTCCACACATTTCGTTTTTAACGGTGAAATTTCGCATCAGAAATCGATGTGCGCAGTATGAGTTAGCGATTAAAACAAGTCCCTTAACGATTTTTGAGACAATTACCCTTATAAGAAGTAATTAAATAAAAAAAAAAAAAAACATATTAAATATGATGTGCTGAAGAAATATTCATGCAGAAATTATTATTTTTATAAATAAAAACATTTTAAATTGTTACATTTCGAACTGCATAGCAGATGGTAGTTAGTTTACGTCTCTAATCTAATGATATCGGGAAAGTAGAAAATACCAGAAAATACCCTAAAAAATACCAATATTTTTACTTTGTAGTTTGTTTTTTTGTGAAAAAAAAAAATAAATATATGTCTTAAGACAAAAATTTTAACAAAAACCATGATTTAAACGGCATGTGTAACGCTTTGTTACACCAATATCCAAACAACACGAGACATTTTTCGGCGTGAAAAAAATAGTTCTACATGTCTATTCTATGTGTGTTTGGTAAGTGATTTCACCTTACAAAAATATACTACTCTTTTTATTAGTACTTCAGTATACTTAATTTTAGTATTTTATATTTTAGTATTTTTATATATCCCACAGCTGGTAGCTCTTAAACGAAACGAAAACTAAATTTTTTTGCCAATGCATTGATTCTGTAATTTAAGTAACACAAACAGTAAAATACAAAATGTTGAACTGTATTATACTATCAAGTGCTTCGCACATTGTATAATTTTTTCAAATAACTCGCGTATTATTGTTCGTTTCTTGCAAAATTGTATATAAATAAATATTTTGGCTGATAGTGCATAAATTGTAGGAACAAGATCAGGAGGTAAGCAAAATATTTCGAGTTTAAGAGTTATTTGAATAGATGGGACACACAATTGGAAAATTACCTGTGTGCACTGAAAAAAGCGTCGAATTATTTTGTGTTAGTTTTCCAAGAAATCTGGGCTCAACGCAGGACGCAGGAATTAAGTTTCCGCGTTGCCGCGACCTTTGCCTCATTTACAAACAAACAGTGACACACATACCCTTACATATGTATATGCACACATACACATAGCAGTAAACGTTTCACATATGTAAAATTGTTGTGCATTACACGAGTAAGCGTACATTAGTGCTGGTGAATTGTTCTTGTTGTGTGCGGGTGTATCATAGATAAACCAATATATTTTCTTATGAGCACTTACGCTTCAGGTAGGTCAATGTATACCCCACAGTACTATCAGCCCCAATTAACCTTTGTGTTTTTGTGCTTGTATACGTATGTACATAAATATATTTAGTTATTTATTTGATACCTATAGATTTATACATAAATATAAATCCATATGTATGTATATACTCACAATATTACTGCTAGTGCATATGGTTCATGCAGCTGTTGTCTCGCTTCGTTGATTACATATGTAGCAATTTAAGTTTCCTTTTGCCCATAATCTTGGCTTGCCCTCATCATATCAGTATATGTACATATGTATATACAAACACACACGTTAATACAAAATACACCAAGCACACACAAACATTCACTAACAAGTGCATACAACATACATACTCGATATCAACAGTAACTTTATTTCGGTCTTTCCATTTACTGATTGTGAATATATACCTAATTGTTTTTGCACTCTATTTCAAATCAGAAAATAAGCAGTTTCTTGATCTCGCATTCCATAGAGTTGTAATTAGTGGGCATCTACCACTAGTTCACCTATTAAATAAAAATAATCAGATTAATTTAATAACATATTATAGTTAATATTATTATTAATATTTGAAACGATTGCCATAACAAACAAAAAAACATAGTGCTTTTTTATTAATCAAACAAGAGTAAATATGTATTTATAGATCAAATTTGTATATATTGTAGATTGTACTACCTGCTTACTTATCGTTTGTGACTCATTTTCATGATTATACAACTCATACAGTCAAGTGGCAAGTAGTGGTAGTTGTACTCCCAAAGTGCGTGATATCAAAATTATTCTAAAAACTCCCATATGTACACCTATGGCATGAAAATCGTATGAATGTGTCTGCATGTCGGTGTTATGTGTGTGTATATATTTGTATGTACGCTTATATACATATATATGTCAACTACGATAAATATATAGTACTAATCAGTAAATGTCTTCGTTTCTATGCAATCTCTTAGTCCTAGAGTCGTTCTTTTATTGTAGCTTTGAACTGAATTGAAACAAAAAGTTTCTAAAGAATAAATCTTTTTTGACTGTACAAGGTAGCTTAATAAAAAATTAATAATGCCAAGCCCGTAAAACAGAACAATTTACTAATACATAGCGCTGAGCTTAAAAAAAAAAAAACAACCATATATATGGTAAAATCTTTAAGATCCTTTTGAAGATGTAATTCTTAGCTATAGCTATTGAATATAAAACTTTTTCGGATTTTCCAACAGTCCCAACGGCAAGGAGCAGCTGGGCAGGATTATTAGGCGTGAAGACTAGCAAGCAGCTAGGAGCAGCATTTAAATGGCTGATGAAAATGGTCAGGCAACAGGTGCAGCTTCTCGTGCTGGCAACGACAGTCTCGACGCTACACAAAGTGTAACAAACATCGCCGGCAGCAATCCAAACCTACCAGGAACATCTGCTTCTATAGCAGCAGTGGCAGTAGCTGGTGCGAGTGGGACTGCGAATGGAGGTAGTGGAAGCAACGGTACTGGGAGCAGTAATCAAGGATATTATCAATTAAGCGTGACAAGTGAGTATACAAATAATTTGAGAGAAGTTCGAATCTTACATATTGATCGATATTCTGTTTTGATTTCAAAGTTGAGGAAGCCTCACTGCGCAATAATGGTTTTCTTAAACCGAATCCGTACGTGGAGCTGTTAATAGACAGCAAGAGCAAGCGTAAGACAGATTTAGTAAAGAACAGCTATCTGCCCAAATGGAATGAAGAGTTTACAGTGCTAGTAAGTAACTTACAAGATATGGTTTATCCCCAAACTAATTGATATTATTGATGTTCGATTTGCTTAGATCACGCCCAATTCGACGCTGCACTTCAAGGTTCTGGACCATTCGAGCTTTCGCAAAGATGCAATGCTGGGAGAGCGTGTCATTCAATTAAGCCACATATTGCACCACTATAACGGGCGCTGCGAGTACCTTGAACTGACAATAGATCTTTTTGTCACCTCCAAATCCGACAATCGTCAAACTAAAAGTGGAGAGCTGGTGGCGATTCTTAATGGCCTTAAACTAGACATGAGCAAGGTGGGCCAGTTGCAGCAAAATGGGACTGCTGTCCAGGCGATTAATCCGGTGGTGAGCGATGCTGCAGCAGCGGGCCGCAGCTGTATGATTTATGGAGGTGTGCGTGCTCGCATGCGTCTTCGCTCCAACAATGCGGAGCCGCCGGCGGCTACTCGCTCGCCACTATCCAATGGTGTAAACCAGGAGCAACGACGTTCAGCTGCACCTCCAATTTGGGAACAACAGCAACAGCAACAACAGCAGGTGGCACAACCCCAGCAACCACTGCGAATGAGTAATGGCACCGGTGCAGCAGCTGTGCCACAAACGGCACCGTACCCACAGCAACCACCGGCACCTGTGCAGCAGCGTCCAGTTAGTCAGAGTCCACTTTACGTAAACGGGTCGATTGAAAATGGAGGGCAAGCAAACTACATGTTAGGTGGCGCGCCTGATCAAGCAGTATGTGGCGCTGGCCTACCTGTGAGCAATGGTGCAGATCCGCAACTACAAACGCAACCGGCGGAAGATGAGCTGCTACCTGCTGGCTGGGAAATACGATTGGATCAGTACGGACGGCGCTATTACGTTGATCACAACACACGTTCCACGTACTGGGAAAAGCCGACGCCGCTGCCGCCCGGCTGGGAAATAAGAAAGGATGTGCGCGGACGCGTCTATTATGTAGACCACAATACGCGGAAGACTACATGGCAACGGCCGAACAGCGAGCGCTTGATGCACTTCCAGCACTGGCAGGGCCAGCGCGCTCATGTAGTAGCGCAGGGTAATCAGCGGTTCCTCTACTCTCAGCAGCAGCAACAACCCACGGCTGTGACAGCGCAGGTGACTCAAGATGACGAAGATGCGCTGGGTCCCTTGCCAGATGGCTGGGAGAAAAAAGTGCAGTCTGACAATAGAGTTTACTTTGTGAATCATAAGAACCGCACCACCCAATGGGAGGATCCACGTACCCAGGGACAGGAGGTCAGTCTAATCAATGAGGGTCCACTTCCACCAGGTTGGGAAATACGTTACACGGCGGCTGGCGAGCGCTTTTTTGTTGATCACAATACGCGGCGGACGACTTTCGAGGATCCCCGCCCAGGTGCGCCGAAGGGGGCCAAAGGCGTTTATGGTGTTCCGCGCGCTTATGAGCGCAGCTTCCGCTGGAAGCTGTCCCAGTTCCGCTATCTGTGCCAGAGCAATGCCTTGCCCTCGCATATCAAGATCACTGTTACACGGCAGACGCTGTTCGAAGACTCATATCATCAAATTATGCGCTTACCCGCCTATGAACTACGTCGCCGGCTGTACATAATCTTCCGTGGTGAAGAAGGCCTTGATTATGGCGGTGTATCACGCGAGTGGTTCTTTCTGCTGTCGCACGAGGTGCTGAATCCCATGTACTGTTTGTTCGAGTACGCAAACAAGAATAACTATAGCCTACAAATAAATCCTGCATCCTACGTGAATCCGGACCACTTGCAGTACTTCAAGTTCATTGGACGGTTCATTGCTATGGCATTGTATCATGGACGATTCATCTACAGTGGCTTCACAATGCCCTTCTACAAGCGAATGCTAAACAAAAAGCTGACCATTAAGGACATTGAGACCATTGATCCCGAGTTCTATAACTCGCTCATTTGGGTGCGAGACAATAATATTGACGAATGTGGTCTTGAGCTGTGGTTCAGCGTGGACTTTGAAGTTCTGGGTCAAATAATTCACCATGAACTAAAAGAAAATGGCGAGAAGGAGCGAGTTACGGAGGAGAATAAGGAGGAATACATAACACTTATGACCGAGTGGCGTATGACCCGGTATGTATTTGACTTTTTTAAAATTTTGTGCACTTAATTATATCTATTTAATGTTTATAGTGGTATTGAACAGCAGACCAAGACGTTTCTTGAGGGCTTTAATGAAGTTGTGCCTCTCGAGTGGCTGAAGTACTTTGACGAACGTGAACTGGAACTTATACTATGCGGTATGCAGGACGTTGATGTTGAAGACTGGCAACGCAACACAATATACAGACATTATAATCGTAATTCCAAACAAGTGGTCTGGTTTTGGCAGGTGTGATTACTTAACTTATCAATTTTGTATATATAATAATGTTATATTCTCCTTAAGTTTGTACGTGAAACGGACAATGAGAAGCGTGCCCGTCTTTTGCAATTTGTAACGGGCACATGTCGCGTTCCAGTCGGTGGCTTCGCGGAGCTGATGGGCTCGAATGGTCCGCAGCGGTTTTGCATCGAAAAGGTGGGCAAAGAAACCTGGCTACCACGCTCACATACTTGCTTCAACCGCCTGGATTTGCCGCCTTATAAAAGCTACGATCAACTGGTGGAAAAATTGACCTTTGCCATTGAGGAAACTGAGGGCTTCTGCCAGGAATGAGTGGTAGTCGATTTGTGGTCAGTTTGTTGATTAATATTTAATTCTAATTGAGCGTCCCGTTGTCGTCCGCTATGTTAATAGTTACTGTTATTATGTAATACCTATATGCATATACGTATGTATAACTATAATGTAGGCACTATGTTCAGATTTTCTTTTTGTGAAATGCATCCTATTCAAGAGTCTTTTGCATAGTTGTTTGGCTCAATCCTTGCAGTCCTTGTTAAGTTTTGGCCGTATGCTCTATTCATTATTAATAAAAACACATTCATACCTATACGACTATCCCAAAAAAGAATGAGCATGGTAGCGAGTTTTTAGAGAAACGAAATTTTAAACTTGTTAGTCATTCAAACGGTCCACAAATATATAATAAAACAAAATATATAAATATCAAGTTGGGTAATAAACGCGGAATGTGCAGTTTTATGTTCTTTTATAGTTTTATATAAAGTTGTAAATATTTTAAATGCTGTTGTCATAAATGAAACAAGTATTTATTTGGCCATCAGTTTAATTTTATGAAGTGCTGCACACTTGAAGGGTTTTAGCTGTAAAGTAACTATTTATCAAACACCAGCACAGAAAAACTCTAAAGTTAAGAGAACAAAATATCATGAGTACTCTTAACGTAGAAAAAAAAGAAAATGTTATATTAAAAAAATCGTAACGACATACTTTAATCTAAATACATAAAATAGCAATAATTGTTGTTAAAAAAACTGAAGGCGATTTGAATTAAGAACTACAAAAGATCCGCATTAAAATGTTGATGCACTGTTTTGTGAAAGTTATGTGGAGAAGGCGCATAAAGATTATAAATTATATGATTATATATAAACGCATTATATATAATATACTAAATTAGTTTAATGCAACATGTACTGTATTATATAAAATAAATGCAAAATTATTTAGTGATATGCGAATCAGCAACCAATCTAATATCTAAAATAGCTTTAAATTTAGACAAAGGTGCTGTAGTTGAGACTTCTTGACCACGAGAGCCCCTGAATCTTTCGCGAAACTCATGTTCTAATAAATATTCACTTTGCATACGCAAAAAATAACATGCATACATGCATACGTATGCATTTAAACGCACACAAACTAACAGACGGTGCTAAATATACTCACTTTAGCGTATAATCAAATGGAGCTTACGTTTAAGTCGAGCCTAATTTTATTGATAATCCCTTTGTTGTTCAGGATTTAATTGGGAGAACCATATAATGTATCTACTTATTTCTATGATCTTCATTGAAATATGCTAACATATTTTCCGATTTCCCCTAGATACCGGTGTCTTAACCTATTATACCTAACCTACATATACATTTGTATATCCTATCTCTCATAGTAATTTTAAGGGATCTGTGGAGCTGCATTAGAATTTTACAGTTTCCAGTTTTTAGGATACTTGTTTAACTCCAAAGCGGGACGAATATGTTGCCAAAAATATAATTATTTCTCAGTTACAGCTAAAGTAATGGTTATTAACGTATAGTATTAGTCGAAGTATTAGTAGTATTACCGTAGTTTTTCAGTTCACTCATGTAAAACATTCAAACGGAAATGTATCGTTGACATCACTCTCATTTAAATAAGGGAGATATAATTTTGTACTCTAGACTAAAATTAATCCTACAGCTCAGTGTGAAGTAGTCACCGAAATTACACTGCCGGAAACAACCTGGTTTGTTTGTGATTAAATCTACCGCCAAATCGATGCTCTTAACTGTATTTCGATAATGTAATCGATTGCTTATTTCAAAAAGTGGCAACGTTAAGCTGTGCATCAAATTAAAAAGGAGACAAATTAATTAATAATAGAAATGGATTTTAAGCATTCACAATCGTCAACTGACGATCCAGAGAAGAATGCTATCCAACAACTGAGAAGCCCCCCTAATCATTTTGGGTACGTCACTATATATATAACACACACTGTTAGATAATGATTGTATTGCATGATGGAAATAAAGGTGTTTTACAGAACCGCGTCGAATTGAGGAGCTCTTAAAATCGCCACTGCATTTCAAGGAAGTCGCAAACTGCCCATCTAAATCGTTGAATGCTTTTGGCTCTAGATGGAAAGGTATTTGTATGCAACCACGATCTACAAAGGAGTTAAAACAGTCTCCGCTGCACCTTGTGCCGAAGCACGTGCTTCCAAGATCTGCATCAAAATCGCATCTGAAGGAATGTGGCCGTCCATCTGGACGTAAGCTAGATTTTACCAAGGAAATTTTGAATCAAATGGAGAGTCGTATCGTATCTTATCTAAAGAGTTTAAAGGACTTTCAAACGATCGTACAATCAGGACTCCAAAAAGTGAGCCTAAACGACTATATGCGCATTTTGAGTCATTTGTTGACATTCACAGGTATTCGGCTAAAACCCCTCGACAGGGATAATCAAATAGAGCAGTCGATTCTGGCTATGCGTCAGCTGAAATATCCTTATAGAGTGAACAAATCTTGGATGTTGGTGCCCAGTTCATCGTTCCAAAATGTTCTGTTGCTATTTGATTTTCTCTTGGACTTTGCACCACAAACAGATGAATCTTTCGATTTGCAAGTAGGGGGACTCATAGCCTTTAATAAAAATGAGCTATCTGATCGATCAGACGTGCGGCTGAAGCAGGAACTTGTGGATATAGAGAGTCAGCTATTAGGACAAGCTCAAGAAAATGATTCTATCAGCCAACAGTTGGACCACAAGTTGCAATTTAAAGCCGAAATACAAGCTGAGCTAAATGGAGAACAAGAAAAGTTAAATGCGTTGCTTCAGAAAAGTGCGAAACATGAACTGAACATGGGAAGACTATGCCTTCAAATATGGCGGAGCGAGAAGCAGCGAAAAGAATTAAAAAACCGATTGAGCCAGGAGTTAAGCAGTCACCAAGCATATAGCCATATATTGGAAGAATCTAACAATCGACGGCTACTTCATTGCATTAAAGCTCAAGAGCTATCTGAGCGAACGTGCAAAGAGCTTAAAAATAAAATTGGAACTTTCAATTTCCATATGCGCCAGTTATATAATATTTTTGGAAACCATTTTAACTGGCTTGAATTGCCTTCGGCGCCCACCTTACCTGAAATTCGAAACCGTCAACTTCAACTTAAACAGCGACGTCAGCAAATTGTATTTCCTAAGCATACCCCAACACTATGCAACCCAAGACCGCTATTAACAAATGTATAATAATTCCACGTGTATCATTCGGAATTAGGTAACAGCATTTTGTTACTTGTTGCTTATTTCAATATTTCTAATCTTAAATGGTAATGAATAAATTTGCATGATATATCCCTCTGACATTTAACATTTCAAAACGGTATGAACATGTGTATGCATTTGTGCATAAAAAAATCGTAGAATATTTTGAGATTAAGCCGAGGTTAAGTCGAGCAGCCTGGACGAGTGCATTCCTCCTTGTTAAAATTAATATTCGAATTCTATATTCATAAAACTAATGTTCGAGTTCAAATTAGCACTAATTCGTTAAAATAGCTTAAGACGTTTGGTGACATTTTTTTGTGTATAAATATGCATCCATATATTAAACAAACATTAAATATGTATTATAAGCCAGCCCTTTAGTCTTGAGGTACCCTTTATATTTCATTGCAATAGTAATAGTAGTTTACTTCGATTGCAAATATGATATTGATTGGGCAAGATGTGAGTTCGAACCGTTTAAGAATATTTTTGTTAAACATTCTTACATGCAACTATTACGAGTTCTATCTGACCATTCTATTTTCTGTTTCCAGTCACAAGGTATCGTCTGACCGCCAATCGCTTCATTAGCATTAAACTCAGTAAATAATATTTGATCTAAACGTGCGAAAGGAGTTTCAGCTTTGTGGCTGACTGCGTTGGCCATGTTTACAGGGTTTTTGTGGCAGTGTTTGCTCGCTCGGCTGGTAGCCGTTGTATTTGTAACTTTGGTTGGCCGGTTTGTGCGCTTTTCCGCGGAATTATGCGTTCTTACTTGTCCTGCAGGACTTGCTGCTGCCTGTGCTGCTGCAGTTTGTTGCCTTCGCCTGCGTTGGCCTTGTTTGAGCAAATGTTGCATCCAAGTGTGCAACACATTGCCACGTTTATTATTGATTTTGCTTTAGCTGTTCGTGATCTTTTGTTGTTAGCTCATGCCGCTTGACTCTTTTCATATACCTGAGCCCCTGGCATGGGGACGGACAGCAGAGAACAGGACAACAGTAGTTGGCTCCTCGCATCGCTAACTGTTTATGCTCATGTTATCAATTAGTGGATATATTTACGTATCCACGCCCGTTATGCGCATTCAACAACAAGCAGTAACTTTCATGTGGGTTGTGTTACTAGAAATATCTTATATAAGTTAAGACTATCGACAATCTAAGGAGGCTGGAGAGTCCAGTCAGACATT